CCCTCTGTGCCAGAGGTCATCCGACCTCTCTGACCTTCGGATCGACGAAGAGGGTCTCCGAGAACGGGTGAAGTAGACACGCAGATAGCGTCTGATGCTTTTTGATAATAATCAACTTCATAGCTTAACGCAAACCAAATTCTTTGCCTTTACACCCAGAACTCAGCTCTCCTAGATACAAAAGTTCTGATAACATCACATTCACACATAGGCACCATATACCACATCTCCTCCATCTAGATCCATCCATCACAGTAAATATTAGTTAACCTGTCACGTTTTAAATGTTTTGAAAAAAATTCTTACTTTTACAAACCGGACTCTTTCTTGAATCAAAACAAAGTGTTTACAATCCCTGAATAAACAAGAATCCTAGAATCTTGTGATTAAACACCCAAAGACCAAGCAGGTTGATATTCTATATTTATATAGAGTATCACAGCTTATTGGTCATAAGTAGAGGTAATATATTGAGCTCTTAAAGCACTCAATTTACCAACTCCTACAAATTATATTTCTTCTGTAAATATTTTTTCTCAATATATAACCATATTTGATAAATATCACGATACATAACATACAATTGTATTTTATCATCATAGTGTTGTACAAAATTCTTTAACATGAGAACCTTTAACCACCAAAACTGTTTCTAAATGATGCACAAATTAAAACCCAGCTCATGTACTCCTGTTCCTCTCTTTTCCCCTCTGGACAAACTGTGTGATGGTGGGTCCTTGTAAACTGCAAATTACACTGAACCAGACATCTTTGCTGTGAACTAAATTTAATGTGTATCCATTCCTTTTGATTACTTGATATAATATATAGTGTAGATTAGTATCAGTTTATGCACAGTTTGTATAATTTCTGGTGATGAATTCATTTAAGAAACAAAAAATGTGAGGAATCGTTTGAGAGCCAAAAGAGCTGGTTCATTTTCGTGAGTCGAGTTGTAAGAACTGGTTCTCTTAAAATATGCAGAGTTCCCATCGCTAGTCCCTACGCTCGGCTGAGCTGTAGTTGCTGATTGTCCCACAATCTCGGTACACGTTCCAAAGGTAATTGGGCTTTTTCGGTCTTGGCTCCCACACTCTGGAATGAGCTACCACTTGCTATGAAATGGTCACCATCACAACAGGTCTTGAAGACTAATTTTGATTGTTCGGCTTTTATGTAATATGGTTTCTAGTCAGTAATCCCAGCCCATGAGGTGATCATTTAAATGTGCAATTTTACTGGCGTGGTCTAAAATATCTATTTTAGATTATATAGGCTAAAATATAAAAAAAACTGTAATTATGTTATGATTAAATAAAAAACTAGTTAAAATGTGTTTAAAAGAACCTAGTTAAAATAGAAATAATTACAAGTTCAGTTTTAAAATGTAAAGTGTTCATTAATAGTTAAAATGTTATCCAACCAGAGGTTTTTGTCATTTTCCATCCATCCATTTTCATCCGCTTATCCGAAGTCGGGTCGCGGGGGCAGTAGCCTTAGGCGAGAGGCCCAAACTTCCCTCTCCCCAGCCACTTGGGCCAGCTCCTCCGGGGGAATCCCAAGGCGTTACCTGGCCAGGTGAGAGACATAGTCCCTCCACCTTGTCCTGGGTCTACCTTTAGGTCTCCTCCCGGTTGGACATGTCCGGAAAACCTCACTAGGGAGGGGTCCAGGAGGCATCCTGACCAGATGCCCGAGCCACCTCAACTGGCTCCTCTCGATGTGGAGGAGCAGCGGGTCTACTCCGAGCCCCTACCGAATGACCGAGCTTCTCACCCTATCTCTAAGGGAGTGCCCAGCCACTATTCGGAGAAAATTCAATTCGGCTGCTTGCATCTGCGATCTCGCTCTTTCGGTCACTACCCAAAGCTCATGACCATAGTTGAGGGCAGGAACGTAGATCGACCGGTAAATTGAGAGCTTCGCCTTCTGACTCAGCGCTCTCTTCACCACAACAAACCAGTACAATGCCCGCATCACTGCAGATGCAGCACCAATCTGCCTATCGATCTCACGCTCCAGTTGTCCCTCACTTGTGAGCAAGACCCCGAGATACTTAAACTCCTCCACTTGGGCCAGGACCTCATCTCTGACCCGGAGAAGGCATTCTTCCCTTTTCCGAATCAAGACCATGGTCTCAGATTTAGAGGAGCTGATTCTCATCCCAGCTGCTTCACACTCGGCTGCGAACCGCTCCAGCGAAAGCTGAAGATCACGTTCTGATGAAGCCAACAGGACCACATCATCTGCAAAAAGCAGAGACCTGATCCTCAGGCCACCAAAAACCCTCCACACCTTGGCTGCGCCTAGAAATCCTGTCTATAAAGGTTAGGAACAGAATCGGTGACAAAGGGCAACCTTGGCAGAGTCCAACTCTCACTGGGAACGAGCCTGACTTACTGCTGGCAATTGTAGCGTGAGGAAGTATGGGTTTTTCTGTGCCAAAGGTTGTATTTGCCCGGCTGGGTCAAAGCTGGGTCACCAGCACTTTCACCCACAGATTAAGACCTGAGCCGCCAGCAAGTCTACAAGGAATCAACAACATCTAACACCTGCATCTCCAGAAGAAGGAGTTCTCACAGGAAGTCTAGTCATAATAAAGAGTCTTACGCTTTCTTCATTATTAATGCTAAATAATCATTTTATCATTTTACTCATTATAAATGTATTTTAATCAAATGAATGATTATTATGCTTTGGGTAATCATAATGAAATATATAATGAATATATAATGAATCAATACTTAATTAAATAATGTCTTTGGGAGATGTTTAGCGATGACCTTCACACTCGCTCACACAGGTCTGGATTCACAGTAACTCCAAAACACATTTGCTCTGACGCACAAGTTTGCTTTGGGAAGAGAAGTAGTTTTTGGTAAGTTAGTCAGAAGGAGAGTGACAACGAAAGAGAGCGGACGTGCTGAACAAACGACAACGGGGAACGGAGCCCCGCCGGCTCTTTTCTCCCCCCCACGCTATTCCTGTCAAGCCAGACAGAATAGCGTAATGCAACCAGCTTACGCAGACTCGTCCAGAGTCTTTGATTTCTGAGTTAATTTAAACTTGACCAAGCGCATCTGTTAAACGCTTCATCAACGTGTACCGAGGTCAACTCTGGACTGGACCGTCAGCACACCTTCGTCTTCTCTGCCAGCCAAGGTGTGACCTGGATAACGCCCTCCGAGGTCCGGATCCGAAAGGGAGTCCTACGTACGGTGAGGCAGAACACAATAGATAGCGTTCTGATGCAGTTTTTCTAATAAGACCTAAGTTTAATTCAAACCATCATTTTCACTCAGATTCACCTTTTCTCTCCCTGAAGCAATCTCACATCTACATGCACGCATTCATAATTCCATCATTCTCAAATCTTAGCACATCCAACACAAGGGCTATTTGTGCAAGCTTAAAATATCAACTGTTAAAGATTGTCCAACAAAATCTTCAGTCTGGTTCCTTTTCTGTGTTTACTGAACTGTTTGAGGACTGAGCAGCTACTGAAGCCGATAAGAGAAAAAAAAATCTGTTAATTAGCCAGTGATATCAACTGACTCAAGGACGGGATTCTGTTTTTATTTAATAAAGTGCATTTTATTTAATAGGAATGGGAAAGAGCATAGAACAGAACCTTGAGGAACCTCACAAATGATTACGGTAATCTAGCTGCTTTGGGAAACTAAGAAATTCAACAGAATTTAGTTTTGTTTTTAATATTAGCCAGACTTTAGTTGTTTTAAGTGGTTCTGGATCAACTATCCTCCAGAACATCTGATGGTCTTTGGCTGACTTTTTACTCAGCTTTAGTTCTTTTTCCTGACAGAACACATTCAGCTGAATAAGTTAAACTATGGATCATTCAGACAGGAAAAGGCTCAAGGGATGAGCCGGAGTTGGGTGGACACATAGAACCAGAACCAGTGCTGGTTATCTGTGAACTGTTCTGGTACTGGGAACCCACACCAGACGGCTTGTTCTCCGTTTTGTAGCTGAATTCATGAGAATGAACTCAGTTTGACAGGAAACAGGCTTTTAGCTCCAGCTGATTATTCTCTGTGTTTTCAACAGAAAACTAAAGTTGTTTAAAATATTCCCTGAACAAATTTATTCGCATTGTAGCATCCTTCCCTCTATCTCTCCCTCCTCCTTTATCCCTTCTTCCCTCCCTATGTTTATCCCAGCTTGGTATGAAATTTCACTCGTTCTTGACCACTCCCTACTTCATTATTCATCTACAAACTTTACAGTTAAGAACATAATGAATAATTTAAAAGATCTGTTTTATCCTTCCATCTATCTTTTATTCCTTGTTCCTGGCCTCCTGTTACTCAGCTTTAATGCACAATGTCACCATGACTCTGCTGTTCTTTATCATTTAGTGTTCATCATCCCAGCCTGCTCCTCTCATCCTTAATGACTTTTCTTAAAGGAGTTGAGCAGTCTTGTGATTCTGTCATCTATCTTCCAGTTCTTTTCTCTTTCTTATATACTTTAGTGATAAAACATTCAAATGTGTCTATTTTATTAGATTGCTGTTGATGCCGGCTATTATGTAACATCAACTGTTATTCATTCTCTTTTTCTCCTTCATCCATCATTATTTGGGATTTTCTATCTTTTGCCATCCAATATATATTATAATTAATAAAAGAGATTTCTGGTGAAATTAAAAGAAACAAGTTTGTTTTCTGTAAATATTCTAGGATTTGTCCTTTGGGACCATGTTCCATCCATCTGGTCTTTCTATAAATCCATCCTTTTGGTGTCTAAAGTCACTCATCCTCCACCCATTTCTTCTTCTGTTTCCAGTAACATAAATAATCTTGTTATTCTCTCACTGTCTCACATAGTTTATCGATATCTTTTGTTTTACACTTTATATCATTATTCCCTCTTTTATCCCAGTATTTATTCTTTGTTTTTTTCTTTTGGTTTAGACTTGGAAAACAAATTAAAGCTACAGTTTGACCTTAATACGATCCATCCATCCATACTCTCACCAACATAGATGACACCCTCCTTGGTCTTAGTGGCAGCCTCCTCCACTCCAGCCTTGGTCTTCTCGGCGGCAGCCACCACTCCATCCTTTGCTTTGGAGAATCCCTTCTTGAACACGTCCATGTTTTTTCTCTCTGCTCTTTGCGTCTTCACTCACTTGTCTCTTCTGCCTCTGTCTGCCTCCTCTCTTCACGTCTGCCAGCGATCTGTTCTTCCTGCTAATGGATGAAAGAGGAGAGAAGGGGTGGAGAGAGAGCATGTGAGGAACTGAGGGGTGTATACCAGGAAGGGAGGAAGGGAAAAATGTGTAAGCTACTTGGCACTTTTTTTGTGTGGTGAAGCTTGAAAACAGCGAAAAGTGCTGAAGAAGAGGAGAACTCATGAGAAGTTTAACAAATAGATCAGGCATAGAAGGAGGAGTGAAGGAGGAACAATAGATTATTTAGATGCCTTCATTGTAAGTTCAGCCAAATCCTGCTGAGTTCCCTCAGCGGCTGGAATCACTCTGTTGATGCATTTTAATATGTTCCAAAGAAAAACAGCAGAATGTTTTTCCCTGAGAATAGCTGGACAGTTCTCTTCCAGATGCTCCATCAGCTGACAGGGGGAGCTTCAGGTATTTACCCTCTACATGAGGTCATTAACACGTCCACTCTCACTGGAGTCACATATGTGGCACCAACCCACCCAGCTGTCGGGTCACAGGGCTCATGACACATGGTGTCACATGACTCAACCTGGAACATCGGGAGGGAAAAGAAATCTGCTGATTTGTCACTGCGTGTGTCCTGTAAGGAACCTTAATGTGACTCAGCAAAACACACACACACACACACACACACACACACACACACACACACACACACACACACACACACACACACACACACACATTAATCTCTGTTTGGCCAGACTATTTGGATGATTATTATTTAACTTGGTCCAGGATGGATGGAGGGTAGATCAGTATTATGGGCTGCCTTTTCTGAGTTACCATGGTGATAAGAGCTGCCTTTCCAACAGTGGATCAATATTGATATCAGAGTCACCTACAGAAATATGATCGTATCTGATCTGTTTTCTCCCAACATCTAAAAATAAAATTGAAACAGTTTTTTTTAACCAGATTCTTCTGCATTATTTTGAATTTCTCAAACGGGCTGCCACCTTATTGTGGTAGAAAGGTTTGAGTGTCCCAATGATCCTGGAAGCTAAGTTGTCTGAGGTCATGCCTCTGGAATGACACTCCATGGTAAACAGGTGAGGGATCAGACAAAGTGCTGCTCAAAAACCCCTTATGATTATTACCTCAAATGGAAACAATGTTCCCTTGCCCAGACACCCCCCCCCCCCCAAAAAAAATACATTCCTGGAGGTAGGGCACGTCAGCAAGCACCTGGTTGTCAGACTCTTACCCACAGAGCCTGACTGTGCAGAGCCCAAAGAGGAAACCTGGGTCCTCCTTTCCATGGGCTCACCACTTGTGGGAGGGGCCAAATGGGTTGGGTGCAATGTGTGATCGATGGTGGCCGAAGGCGGGGACCTTGGCGGTGTGATCCTCGGCTACAGAAGCTGGCTCTCGGCATGTGAAATGTCACCTCTCTGGTGGGGAAGGAGCCTGAGTTGGTGTGAGAGGTTCTGACTAGATATATTGGAACTAACCTCGACACATGGCTCTGGCTCTGGAATCAGTTTCCTTGAAAGGGCCTGGACACTACCACTCTGCAGTTCACCCAACTGAGAAGTGCAGAGCAGGGGTGGGCATATTAGTTGTGCCCCATCTTGGTACCTGCGTATGTGCCTGTATGTGTTCGTGTTTACCCCGGTGAAAGAGAGTGTATTCTCCCTCCGTCTATGTGTGGGGGGATGGGTCCTGACTGTGGTCTGTGCTCATGCACCAAACTACAGTTCAGACTACCCACCATTGTTGTATACCTTGGAGGAGGTGCTGGAAAGCACTCCTTCTGGTGACTCTCATTCTGCTGGGGGACTTTAATGCTCATGTGGGCAACGACAGTGAGACCTGGAGAGATGTGATGGGGAGGAACGGTCTCCCGATCTGTATTTGAATGGTAGTATGTTATTGGACTTCTGTGCTCGTCATGGATTGTCCATAATTAACACCATGCTCAGACATAAAGGTGTCCATTTGTGCTCTTTGCACCAGGATGCATTAGGCTGCCAGCTTGATGATTGGCTTTGTTTTTGTCCCATCTAATCTCCAGCCACATGTCTTGGACACTCAGACGGACGGGCGGAGCTGTCAACTAACTGCTACCTGGGGGTTAGTTAGCTTTGATGGTGGGGGAGGATGCCAGTCAGACCTGGCAGGCCCAAATGTATTGTGAGGGTCTGATGGGAACGTCTGGCAGAGTCTCCTGTCAGAAGAAGTTTCAATTCCCAACTCTGACAAAACTTCCAAAATGTTCCGGAGAAGGCAGGGGACATTGAGTCCAATTGGGCCATGTTCCGTGCCTCCATTGTTTATGTTTATGTTTATGTATTTAGCAGACACTTTTGTCCAAAGCGACTTACAAGCGATAATTGGCATGTTGCCCTTGAGGCTAACAACAATAATAACAACAACTTGACATCAGGGTACAAAGGAGTGGACAGTAGAGAGGGGGGCGGGTGCAGGGAGGGTGTTAGTTTAGAAGATGCTCTCTGAAGAGTAGGGTCTTCAGGAGTTTCTTGAAAATTGAAAGGGAAGGTCCTGTTCTGGTAGTGCTAGAAGTGTCATTCCACATTTGTGGAACGATGCATGAGAAGAGTCTGGATTGTCCACTGGTGGTGTAGGCACTGCTAGCCGACGATCCTGTGATGACCGGAGCGGCCGGGCCGAGACGTAAGCCTTTGCAAGAGGATTCAGGTAGATGGGAGCCGTACCATCTCAGACTTTGTATGCTAGTGTTAGCAATTTGCATTTGATGCGTGCTGCTAGCGGTAGCCAGAGGAGCTCAATGAACAGAGGGGTGACGTGTGTTCTTTTTGGCTATTCAAGACCAGACGCGCCCGCTGCGTTCTGGACCATTTGAAGAGGTCTCACAGTACAGCCTGGAAGACCAGTTAGAAGGGCAATGCAGTAATCGAGGCAGGAGATGACAGTAGATTGCACCAGGAGCTGGGTGGCATGTTGTGTTAGGTATGGTCTGATCTTTCATTTATTATACAGCGCAAAGCGGCATGAATGAACAACAGAGGCAACATCAATCAATCAATCAATCAGATTTATTTATAAAGCTCTTTTCAAACAAAGTACTACTCAAAGTGCTTTACGAAATGACCCCAGATTCCCATAACAGGTTAAAAACATTAACAGACATATGCAAGCACACACACACACACACGCACACATACACACACACACACACACACACACACACACACACACACACACACACACACACACACGCACACACACACACACACACACACACACACAAAGTAAAAATTATATTTGGCTGAGTCCAGATGAGCCAAGTAAGGTAAGGAAAGGAAACACCATCAGAGGAGCCGTCTGCCCTGGCAGCATCAGGTCTTCCACACTAAGTCAGGGCGCTCAGTGGAGGGGGAGCATAGGCCCCCACCTATAGAGCACCCAGAAAGCTACAGTTGACCACCGTTCCTGGGGCAGAGGGCCCCTACAGAGGAAACACTGGATTAAAATCAGTAAAAATATAATAAAAGAGCTGATATAAGGGACAAAAGTTAGAAAATAAGTAATAAATAAAGTCATATGGACAGTAAAATAATAATATTAAACAATGAAAACAATGCTAAAATATCTTCATATAAAAATATGCAAAGCAAGCAACAAAATATAATCATGAAAACGAGAAATAAAACTGTAGTAAACATTTAGATAAAAGCCAACCTAAAAAGATGGGTCTTGAACCTGGACTTAAAAACATGAACGTTCTCTGCGGCCCTGAGGTCCTCTGGCAGCTCGTTCCAGAGGCGAGGGCCATAACACTGGAAGGACGCCTTGCCGTGAGTGTGTGTCCTGACTTTAGGGATACCATACCATACCAATTTTATTTATATAGCACATTTAAACACGGCATGAGAGCCGACCAAAGTGCTGAACAAAACACACATTAAAAACAATCAAAAATAAAAACTAAATCCATTAAAATCAAGTAATCCAACCTTAAAAGGAAAGGTAGGAAGGGAATAAGTTAGACAGAATTAAAAGCCAGAGAATAAAAGTGAGTTTTTAAATGAGACTTAAAAAGGGAAAGAGAGGAAGAGAGTCTGATCGGGAGGGGCAAGTGGTTCCAGAGCTTCGGTGCACAAACTGAAAAGGCGCGCTCCCCGCGGGACTTACAGCGAGAGCTAGGGACATGTAGGAGGTGTTGGTCAGCTGATCGGAGAGATCTTGTAGGGACATATGGGTGAATGAGCTCAGACAAGTAGCCAGGTGCTAAGTTATTTAGGGATTTAAACACAAAAACCAGGATCTTAAACTCTATCCGGAGATGGATGGGGAGCCAATGAAGATTTGCTAAAACCGGTGTGATGTGTTCCCGCTGCCTGGTGCCAGTCAAGAAACGAGCTGCTGCGTTCTGCACAAGCTGAAGTCGAGCGAGAGTGGAGGAGGAGATACCGTATAGCACTGAGTTAGAGTAGTCGAGACGGGAAGTAATAAATGCATGGACAACTGAATGAAGATGACGCCTTTTTAAAATGGGCTTAACTTTAGAGAGACGCCTCAGGTGGTAATAACTGGTCTTAACTACCTGGTTGACATGAATGTCCATTTTTAGTTTAGCGTCCATCACAACCCCTAAGTTTGTGACACGGTTTTTCAACCCACTTGTGATAAATGGAAGGGTCAGTTGGGGACTTTGAGAAGTACCAGGGCTGAAAATGATGGCCTCTGTCTTAGCGTCGTTCAGCAAAAGAAAGTTTTCTGACAGCCAGCTCTTCACATCATTGCAGCATTCAACAAGGGGCAGTAAGGAGTCATTAGGCTTCACAGAGGCATATAATTGGCAATCGTCTGCATAAAAATGGTAATCAATGTGGTGTTTTTTAAAAATGTCACCCAGGGGCAAAATATATAAATTAAATAAAAGGGGTCCAAGAATAGAGCCCTGAGGAACACCACAAGTCAAAGCCACAGAGGGGGAGGCAGCACTACCCATCATAACATTAAAGGTGCGGTCACAGAAGTAGGACCTAAACCAGTCTAAGGCAGTCCCCTGGATGCCGACCAGCTGGTTCAGCCGAGTCAGCAGAATAGCGTGATCAACCGTAT